AGGGCTGCTACCAGCAAACCACAGAGCAGAAGTACGTGGACAGCCAGGAAGCACCTGCTGGAGCAGATGGCATTCACCAAGCAGGCAGGAGGTGGCCCCGAGTCACCCCAGCAGCTCAGAGGGCACAGCAGAAACAGGCCAGGGAGAAAAACCTTCCACTTGGAAGATGAAGCTGCACAATGGGCAGTATCCCAGCCCAAGCATCTGATGGTGTCTTATCCTAAATGCCATCGATGTCCTATGGGAACCAACCTGGCCACCGTGTTGGTGACCCATCCATGTTGGGTTATCTGCTAGATGTTCACCTGCAGGTGCCTTCTTAGCTGTTTGGGCAAGTGTTGTGGAGTTGTTTGTGCTCGTTGGTTGGTAGTGTGCTGCTCTTCTACTGCTCCTCACTGTGGAGCAGCTATTTTGGAAGATAAGTGTGGGTTGAGGGGTTTCTCCTGTAGTTCCACTAGTGCTTACTCCACTTGGGACATTGGTCTGTGTGCGTTGTGGTGTAGATGGGGATAAGGTTAACCACACAACTTGTATGAGTTGTGTCTTCTTGTCTTGGATGCAGATAAATGCAGATTAGCTGAGGACTTACTCCCTGAGCTTCTCTCCCTGAATGTGTTCAGACTGAATCCCACACTGGTTTGGGTGGGAAGGGACCTTTCAAGGCCATCTACTCCAACCCCCCTGCAGGGACAGGGACATCTGCAGCTAGAGCAGGGTGCTCAGAGCCCTGGCCAACCTCACCTGGGATGGTGCCAGGGATGGGGCAGCGACCACCTCTCTGGGCAGCCTGGGACAGGGGCTCACCACCCTCAGCATCCAAAATTTCTCCCTTCTCTCCAGTCTCAATCTCCCTCCTGGAGTTCCAAACCCTCCCCCTTGCCCTGTCCCCATGGGCCCTGGCCTGCACACTGCCACAGTTTGGTGCCCACTGGCTCTCAGGGCTGTGTCGCTCCTGGATGAGGCCCAGCAGCGAGGAGGGAAGGTTTGAGGGGAGACCTGGGGAGCAGGGATGGCCCTGGCACTGCCTCTCCACCTCCCTGGGCCCCAGCCCGTGCTGAAGGAGCAGAGAGGGCTGGGCAGGCTGTGGGCAAACCACTTCCGTGGCTGGGACCTCTGGAGATCATCTCATCCACCCCCTGCTCCAGCAGCTCACCCACAGCAGGGTGCCCAGGGTCACAGCCAGGTGGGTT